CACTGTCCTAAGTTTGTGATTATGAGGTCATATGTACCACGCTTCCTGTCAGTAATACATCATTTTTCTTTGGCCATTTCAGGTGTTCTTTTTATCTTTGGGTTTCAGCAGAATCTCACCTGATGTACCAGGTGTGGTTTTCTTTGTATTTATTCTCCTTGGGGCTTTGTAACATTCTTGGAAGTGAAGAGATGTGGGGTTTTTTTTTGTTTGTTTTTTTTTTACCAAATTTGAGAAATGTTTGGACATCATTCAAACAGGTTTTATATTCCATCCATTTTCTTCTCCTTTTGTATCTCCAATTACACATATGTTATATCTTTTGACATTATCACAAGTTGATGAAGCACTGTTTGGTCCTTTGTATTTCTTTCAACCCTTTCTGTTTCCAATTATGTTATTTCTGTTACCTATATCCAACTTCACTGACTTTTGTGCCATCTCCAATTTCCTATTAAACCTATTCAGTTCAAATATTGTATTTCTCATTACAGAATTCACATTTTAGAATTTATTTATTCATTTGATGAAATTCCCATCTTCTCATTCACTAATACATTTTCTCGTATATCTTTTATAGCATTCAAAATCATTATAATGGGGTTTTAACATTACTTTTTTACTAATTCCAATATTGAGTTCTCTGGATTTTTCTTGATTTTTCTGGTGAATATGGCTTTTTTTTTATATCTTTTTAATTTTTATCTCTGCATGAATAACACACTGTAGAGACTCTGTTATGTTCCTGTAAAGGCTACTGATTTTGTTGTAGTAGTAGGCAGTTCAGTTCAAATCTTCAAATGCTGTCTCATTAAGGGAGGCAGTGCTGAAGACTCTATTCAGTTCTTTCAGCCTTTACTTGGATGCTTAGGGTCTATTCTTTACTTGCATAGAAAAGTGACTGCTCAGAAATTCTGGATATTAAGTGCTGGTAAAGACGTAAAGAACAGTGAGAACAACTGTAAAAGTGGGAATAGGGGTGTCTTTGTTATGTAGTGGCAGAAAGCTTAGCAACCACATTACCTGGAGTTAATGTGGGAAGCACTGGGTGGTTTCCCTAAGCTTTTTTCAATTGATGTGTTCAGTGTACTGACTTTGTTGTTGTTGTTTTCCCCTTGCTACTTATAGGAAGTCAATGAAATAGATATAAATCGAGGAAAGATCTGTTAATAAGGAGCCAGAATATTAGGGTTTTGAAAATGTGCAGCTTCTGCAGATGGCGCATGAAGCTAAAATCAAGAAATGTTTTCCAAGCAAAGATAAAATCCAAGGTACTGCTAAGAAAACTGGTCTAGAGAGAAAACAAAAGGCATGACTGTAAAATCTTTTCTTAGAACCTCAGCAATATCAAGCTGAAGTACTATTTAATCATATTAAAACTCTATGAAGAGATTAAGCAAGACCTTCATAGATACTCTTATTCAAATGAGTTGCTAAACTTACCTCAGAGATATTTGTGGCTCCAGCTTTTGTCCAATGGAGTGAACCGCAATGAGATTTACATGTAGTCCACTTCTATTACTGCCAAGTTGAAGAAAATTAGTCTTAATAGCCACAACTAGAAGCAAGGGTAGCTGGGCAGCCACATCCCAAAATCAATTCTAGATAATAGTTAAGAAATTTTTGGTGGTATAGGTACATCATAGATAGCATTAAGAAATCCATTCCCAAGGCCTAAGAAAATAACCAAAGTATGGGTTTGTGGTCTGAGTGGAACTGCTGTAAGGTACTCTTGCATAAGATTTCTCCATAAGCCCTCATTCTGTATAAATGCAAAGTGTTAAGAAATTCCAATGGATATCTTCGTGGTGATTTTTTACTACTAATATTTAAGAGTACCCAGTTCACTTGCCATTGATTAAAATCAATGAGAGACCTGAATGCCATGCCATAGTGTCTTTTACTAAAACAAAACCTTAGTGCAGTTTTAACCTTGGAAACCAGTTATTAAATACAGTGTTAATATCAGAAATCAAAACATTCTTGGAGCTCTGAGGTCTATTATGACCATTTAACTTTCTTCTCATACTTAACTGTCACTCTATAATCCAATACATGCCACAGATCCTACAGAAGTTATATATCCTTTACAAATGAAATCACTTCCAATAACAATCATTCTCAATGACAATCCCTAAAAGAGGATAATTTTGGGGGGAGAGAGATTTTTGCTATAGGACGTATGTGCTCACTGGAGAGTCAGAGAGACAGAAATCAAGAGATCGTCCCCAAGGGGGGATGGCCTTGCTACAATCCCTTCTCCTCCATTCTCCTCTTTGGATTTTGGGCATGCACACACATGCACCCAGCATGAGTTTCAAGTCTCCTGGTCCAGGACTTAAACAGTGGTCAACTGCATGAGAGTCTAGTGCCTTAACCACTATGTGACCTGCTGGCCCCAAGGAGGAAAAAAAAAAAATGGAGAGATTTTTGCTATAGGATGCGTGTGCTCTCCAGAAAGAGACAGAGACAGAAAGCAAGAAATCACTCCCCAGGAGGGATGGCCACGCCACAATTCCTTCTCCTCCATCCTCCTCTTGGGATCTTGGGCATGCATGCACACATGCCTGGAGAGAGTTTAAGCCACCAGATCCGGCCCTAAAATCATGGTCAACTACATGGGAGTCCAGCAACATAGCCATTGCACTAACTGCTGGTATCCCACGGAGAAAATTTTAAAGACATTTGCTTCTTTTAAGTCAAAGAAACATGGAACTGCTACTAGATCCTGACAGGGGATCTTGCGGAAGTAGTGACGGGCATAAAGAGAAAAGATTCAATTTAGTATTTTAAACTCTTTGATTCTTTCAAGTCCCTATATACTGTGCAAAGTAATTTCTACATTTTCCAAAAATGTTCTCTAGATTATTTTATGGTGTAACGAGTGAAGGACATTAACATTCTGGGTAAGAATAATCTTCTCTTCATGTTTCAAATGACAAATCACGTTAAATTCCGGTTCAGAGGCCAGATCCATGGCACAGCAGTAATGTGCTGCTTAAGAGAACCCAGATCATACATGGTGAAGACAGTTCAAATCCCTAGGCCACATAGCCTGAAATGTGTTGGGTACTTGTGCCCAAGATCTGACAGACTGGAGGACTGGAGAAAGGCGCTCATAGCATAACCAGATGTAGTGGAGGCCACGCCTCTCTCTCATGCACACACATGCTCTATTATAAACAGAGAAAAAAAATTAATTCTGACTTTGATTACTAGATAAGCAGTAATAGTGAAAGTAGAGACAACTAAATTTTTAGTCATAAGGAAATCATGGGGGACTAGCAGATGGCATAATGGTTATATCACTGGACTCCCACATAGTCGACCGCAGTTTGAGTGCTGGGCCCAGTGGCTTAAAACTCATGCCAGGTGCATGTGTGTCCCCCAAATCCTGAGAAGAATGGAAGAGAAGGGGCTACGGTGTGGTTATACCCCCTGGGGGGGGTAATTTCTTCCTTTCTGTTTCTCTGGCAAGCACGGGAGCCCTGTAGCAAAAATCTCTAAAAAATAAAAATTGGAATCATGGTAAGAATTAGTCAGGTTTCTTAAGGACTGAAGGAGGAGTAAAGTTTTCTAAAGCTGCTTGAATCCTTCCTGATAGCCTCATGCTAATAACCTGAATTCAAATATTTTCCAAAGTAATAAGGAGAATTGGCAAGGTTGGGAATTTAGCAAGCATCACAGCTCAGCAATTACCTACATCTATAATTGCATTTGGTTTTCAGTAATCACAGTCCCATGTTTAAAAGGAATAAGAGGTTCTTTCCAACAGTCATAAAGTCCTGATTTCAATTTCTAGCTTAAGGTCAGAATTTCAATGTGTCTTAAAATTTTAATAATCTAGTTATAAAGAAGCACTATACATACATTTTTGAAAGTAGTAAAAACCTTTAGTTTTTGGTAGAAGCTATCTCATCCTTAATTACAAATGGTTTATGATTCTGCTATATCATGAATTTCCCTATCTAGTACAAAAAAGGACTAGGAATTTCTCTGCTTTTGATCTGTCTCTCCCAATAATCAGTCCTTCGGCCCAGATGCAGTGGCACAGAAGGTAGAGTTGCTACACAATAATAAAGCCGTATCAGAAGGTCTCGAGTTCAGAACCTAGGTTGACTTGAACACACCAGGTGCATTCATGATCTTTGCTGGATGGAAGACAGGAATGAGGGGAGAGAATCAAGGTATGACACAGTCCTGTCAAGGGTACCTGTTTCTCTTTCCATGAAAGAAATACTTTAAAAGAATAGCAATCCTTAACACCCTACTTCTCTATAGCCTGGTAATCAGTTGCTGGTATCACTTTCTATAGTGGTTAGCCTTTGTTTGGTTGAAACGTAAGACCTGACTCTAACTTAAAGTTAGATATTAAGTATTAGATTCAGTGGGTCACAAAAAGATTTAAAAAAAAAAAAAAAGGAAACTAAGTATTAGAAGAACACCAAGTAGCTCACAGATTTAAAGTGCTGAGTAAAATTGGGACATGAGAAAGCAGAAATTATCTCAGTGGATCCCAATGATGGATGCAGAAATCTAATCTTTAGGTTTCTACCAAAGAAAATTATCCAGTTCAACTTCCAGTTCAGAAATACACATACACACCATACACATACACAACAGCTGGTACAATAAAGGGGTTCTAAGCAATCAAAATTAATACGGACTAAAAGAAAACACCTATCTGGCCCTACTGGTTCATAAAGCCAGATATTGTCCAATTGTGACCCTGTGACTTCAATCAACAAAGAAGGAAAACTTCTGGCTGGCTCAAGTAGAGCCATGTATGACTAACAGTTCAATATAGAATGAGGAAAAAGTGCCTATTAAAAAGTTAGGAAGAGTATGTATGCTAACGAGAGAAACATACATACTGAATGTGTGCTTTTATATGTGTGCCACACACATATATTCAATATTAATTTTTTAAAATAATTTTCATTATTATAATTATTATTTTGATGAGAAAGAGAGACCACAAGAAAGCAAACCACCAGACCTGGGACTCCCAACAATGGTCAACTATGTGGGAGTCCAGCACCATCACCACCATGTCACTTTCCAGCCCCTATATTTGATATTAATTTTGACACTGACTACAAGATCACTGTACACATAAGCTTGTGCAAATTACATATTTCATTTAATATATTGCAGACAACCTTTCACAGAAGTAGACATAGAAGTTAATTGCTCTCTATTAACTGTGCAATATTGTATCAGATAACTACAATTTAATCAATCTGCATGGCAGGACACTAAATTCCTATTTGTTGTAATTAAAACAATTCTGCAATAAACATTATTTACATTGATCTACTTATTCCAGTGGGATAAAATTCCTAGATCTGGAATTACTATTTCAAAAGGAAAGCACATTTACAGTGTTGACAGGACACGCCACATGCCATCCAAAAATTGCAGAGAATTTACATTGCTAATCAGTAAGTACCTATTTTCCCATACCAATACCTGTACTAGATATTATCTAAATTTTACATTGTAATTCATCTAAGAGCCAAGAAAATTTCTTTTCATCTGTATTCTGACTACTGAGGTTAAGACCATCAGAAAGTGTCTGTCTTCATTTGAGTTCTTCAGTTATGCCATAGATGCACTGCCAATTTCCTTCAGTGCTCTGTATGTGTAATAGCGCTCCGTTACTAAATGTCATAAAGTTTTGTGTAGATCACACACATTTTCTGACAATTATCTTTTCCATTTTTGGTGCCTTTTACTATGCCAAAGTTTTAAAATTTTGCATAGTCCAACTTATTCTCTTTCTTATGGCCTCTAGGACTCCATCACCTGCTTGATAAAGGCTCCCCTTCTTCTATGTTTGCTTCTAACACATTATTTTATAATCAGAGATTCTTAATACAATTCTCATTTTTTCCTGTAGAGTACAAATATGTTTTCCCCCCCATGGAGATGTAACCAACTATCAAAATATAATTTTCCCAATATTGAAATGTCAGTCTTATTATAGACCAAAATTTCACATGTAAACAAATCTACTTCAAAAATGTCTTTGCTATTGCTTCCTTGATTAAACATTCTCATTTTATTTCACATAAAACTGTCAAAGTAAACATCTTACCAGGACACTGTCTGGAATTACAGTTTACAAACATTTTAACAGTAGTGAGTACTTCACCTAAAAAAAAAAATCACTATTTCTTTTATTGACATATTTTCTACTTTTCGATATAGCTTACTAATTTCATTTCACCTCTATTCAGAAATAAGTTGGTTTATAGGTTGTTTGATTTTGATAGGAGAGTTGTATTACCCTCATAAAATTAAAAGCCTTCTGTATATTATTCTCTACTTTAAATCAGGGGATGGCAAAAATAGGCAGCAGATAGGATTCCGTCCATTACCTACGGTTGGTTGACTCTGCTTTAGAGTAAAGATAAAATAGATATTTTTGGCTTCATGGATCATGTATCTCTGTCACATTTAAACTACTTTTGTATTCTGCAAGCTGCCATAGACATTGTGTAAATGAGTAAGTGTGGCTTTGTGCCAAAAAAAACTTTATTTACAGGCACCAAACTTTAAATTTCAAATATTTTTCAATGTTGAAAATATTTCTACTTTGTCCATCCTTCTAAAAAAAATTTTTTTTAAGTTTGGATCATTGGTCACATAAAAACAGTATGGCTGTGACCATGAGTCAAAGTTTACTTCTGATCCCTATTTTAGATCAGTTTACCTCAGAGCTTATAGCTTTTATTTTTAATTTAAAAATATTTCATTTTATTTCTTATTTTTAAATTTGACCAGAAAAAGAGGGAGCAAGAGATACAGAGGGAAAGTAAGAAAAGCCTCCAGGCCCAGGAGTTGAATTGTGGTTGGCCATGTGGGAATACAGCGTCTTAACCACCACTGTACCTGCTGGCCCCAATAGTTTCCTGAAAGTTCACAGAATTCATTCATATACTAAGTGACTTTAAATATATGCAGTCTTGCCAAGTTTTCTAATTCTTGAGTAATGCATCAGGACTTTTAACTTCATGCATATAAATCTTCCTTTAGTCTGATTATTTCAATTTGATTTTTCCAGGAGGCCTCTCATTCATATTCTCTAGACTTTCTAAGACTGTTGTCAAAAGTTAAACTTTCTCATTGACAAGGTCATATCACCTTACAGTCATGTAGGACAGAATAAAGTCCTCAACATTGATTTAGCATTATGGAATCAAACTTTAAACCAACACAGACAAAACCTCATCAATTTACCTTGAGAACTCTAATTCCTGATCTAATACTCAGTTTTCCCTAACCTCATCCTACCACATCATTTTTATCAGAACTGACTGTGGTAACTTTCCAATGATCGAAAGTAATGTTTTAATAGGAGCCAAGTTTACTTAACTTAGTATGGACCAGGCACTGTGCTAAGCACATCTTACACATTCATAAATTTAAAGGACCCACAAATTTCACATAAGAAGTGAATAAATTACACTAGCAAAACACAAAAATAAAACAGTAAGGCAGGGAAATGAGTGGTTAAACTACTGACATAGCCTAGCCTAAATGTCATCTTGAGACTATGGTGATGGAAGTGAGGATGGATCCCAGAGAAACTTGGGAAATAGATCCACAGAATTTGACACAGAAGGTAAAGAGGGACGTGTTGATGACTCTCCAGTATGAATTCGCTGGTGGTGAGCAAAATGTGCAGTCTGTTTAAAGGCTTTTCTGCTTTTCTTATAGTTATAGGCCTTCTCTCCAGTATGAACTCTCTTATGTTGATTAAGGTGTCCGATTTGGATGAAAGTTTTCCTACATTCCTTACATTCATATGGTTTCTTTCCAGAATGAATTCTCTGATGTACACTAAGGGACTGACGATGACTAAAGGCTTTGCCACATGCACTACATTCGTAAGGTTTCTCTCCAGTATGACTTCTGCGATGACAAACAAGGGATGATTTTGTCTTAAATGCCTTCCCACATTCCATACATTCATAAGGTCTTTGGCCGGTATGAAGTCTCTGGTGTTGAGTACAGGATGAGTTATCACCAAAGGCCTTCCCACATTCCATACATTTATAGGGTTTCTCTCCAGTATGAACTCTCTGATGTTGAATAAGGTGTGTGGTCTGGCTGAAGGCTTTACCACACTCCTTACACTCATAGGGCTTCTCTCCTGTATGAGTTTTCTGATGTTGTGCAAGGTGAGCCTTCTGGGTGAATGCTTTACTACATACCTTACACTCGTAGGGCTTCTCTCCAGTATGAATTCTCTGATGAGTGGCAAGCTGTGAACTGATGCTAAAGGATTTCCCACATTCTCCACATTCGAAGGGCTTCTCCCCAGTATGAATCCTCAAATGACTAGCAAGGTGTATATTCTGCCTAAAAGCTTTTCCACATTCTTTACACTTAAAAGGCTTTTCTCCAGAATGAACTCTTTGATGTTGAGTGAGTGATGCATGATGGCTGAAGGCTTTTCTGCAAACATCACATTCATATGGTTTCTCTCCAGTATGAATCCTTTGATGTACAGTAAGGGATGAGCCATATCTAAAGGATTTGTGACAGACGTCACATTTGTAAGGTTTCTCTCCAGTGTGAATTCTCCTATGCTGATTAAGTCCTATGTGATCACTGAAGGCTTTCCCACAATCTATGCAATCAAAGGGCTTCTCCCCTGTGTGATAATACCTCCAGTGGCGAATAAGGGAAGTGTTCTGTATGAAAGCTTTTCCACATTCAATGCACTCATAGGGCTTCTTGCCAGTGTGACATCTCTGATGTCGTGCAAAGGACGAACCATCACTAAAGGCCTTTCCACATTCATTACATTTATAGGGCTTCTCTCCAGTATGAATTCTCTGATGAACAGTAAGGGATGAACTCTGGGTGAAAGTTTTCTTACATTCATTACATTTGAAAAGTTTTTTTCCTGTATATATTCCTGTCTGTTTTATTACAACTGAGTTTTTGGAGAAACTTTTAAGTGAATCGGGATGATAAACTCTTTCTTCTGAATTGTCCAAACGGGACCATCTTCCAGATTTGTTACACATATGCCCTCTTTCCTTAGAGAGGGTTTTGTTGTAAGTAATTGTCTCTTGCCTGAATTGTGCTTCATGATCTACCAGCTTCTTTTCTAACACGTACTCAGAATCCCAATTTTCTTTGAAAGTGGAACACTCAAGTCTATTGTTTGTGGTTCTGTCCATTACTCCTTCAACATAGGAGTCCTGCTTTGGAAATAATTCCTGGGTCTCACCTATAGATTGTTGGCCTGAAAGATATCAAGGAAAAAGATACTTCCTTTATCATGTGCTAGAAAAAAGGAATCTGCTAAAAGAAAAATTGGTGAATTAAACCACATGAATTGAGCAGCTCTAGAAGCTATTACATTTAAATATGCAGTGTGCAATGTATGTAAGACAACTCAAGATGGAATTTGCACAATAACCTAGAAAACTGGGGGGGGGGGGAGTTAAATGTATGCAGAACCAGTTACATAAAAGTGAGAAGTTGGTGGGCTGTGAGTCAGTACCATTACTTCACTCTTACTCCCTGTCTACTCTGCTTTGGATGCCACAGCAGTCATCGTTAAACACCATGTCATGTAAAGGAGCTGGCCAAGCACAAAAATTTCCTGAAAGTCCACAATAACTTTTCTGCAACCAGAAAATGTTTCAATAATATTAACAATATTTTATTTGATACACCTGAGAAAAAGCTACATTGTTTGGTCAGCCCTGTGGCACAATGGTAATGAACTACTTAAGACAAGTCAGATCCCACAGAGCAAAGCTTGTTGAAATCCCTAGGCTGGGCAACCTGAAACATGCCAGGCATATGCACTAGCTGAAAGACTGGAGGAAGGGGATCATGATATGACTAGAGCCTGTGCAGATGCTCATCTCCCTTTCCCTCTCTCATGTGCATGTGTTCTATCATGAATAAAGATCATTTTCATATTTTCTTGTCACAAAATCATTTTCATATTTTTTAATTACCAAACTACAGAAAACTTCAAGGAACCTTCACTTCTGCCTTTTTTTTTTTTCTTTTCTTTTCTTTTCTTTTCTTTTCTTTTTTTTTTTTTTTTTGAGAGGGATGTTTTTTCTTTTGGGCAGAGTCAATTTTGCTATAGGGCACATGCAATCTCCAGAGAGACAGAAAGTGAGAAATCACCCCCCCACACACACCCAGAGGGGAGGGCCACACTACAATCCCCTCTCCTCTTCTCCCAGGATTTTGGGCATGCACACACACCCACTCTGAGTTTCAAGCCGCCAAGTCCAGGACTCGAACCACAGTTTGCCACGTGGGAGTTCATGATGTAACCATTATGTCATTTGTTGGTCCCAACTCTGGCCATTTATTAAAAGGTATTTTCAATTTTGCATTTCTTTATAATGTTTTTCCCCCCTGGACTTACGGAGATATAACTGATAAAAACTGTCTATGTTTAAGGTACAAAACAATGTTTTGATATATGTATACACTGTGAAATGATTACCACAACATAACTAACATATCACCTCACATAATTATTTTTATGTGATGAGAATACTTAAGATTCACTCTTTTCGCAAATTTCAAGGACATTACTAATAACTGAAAGTGTGTACACTTTGACCAATATCTCGTTTCTCTGGTTCCCACCCTTCTGCTCTTTCTCTGACCTTGACTATTTTTAGATTCTACACACAAGAGACATCAAGCAGTATCTGTCTTTCTGAGTCAGGTTATTTCATATAGATATTGTTATAAATAGATTTCCTTCTTGTTAAAGCTTTAGAGATTTCAGCATGTGTTATGTATGTGTCAAAAACACACACACATTTTATATATACACATACAAACACAGACTTGATCTATTTATTGCTTCTATAACTTGGCTATTGTGAATAATGCTGCAAGAATGTGGGAATGCTGATATCACTGTGAAGTGCTCATTTTCTTTTTTGGAGAGGTTTTTGCTACAGGGCGCATGCGCTCATCAGAAGAGAGAGTGACAGAGAGATAGAAAGTGAGAAATCATGTCCAAGGGGGATGGCCACGCCACAATCCCTTCTCCTCCATTCTCTTCTCAGGATCTTGGGCACGTACGTACACATGCCCGGTGTGAGTTTAAGCCACCAGGTCAGGGACTTGAACTGTGGTCAGCTACGTGGGAGTCCAGCAACATAGCCATTACGCTAACTGCTGGTCCCCTAATTTTCTTTGATATATGCACACTAGTGAAGTTGCTAGAGCATATGGTAGTTCTATTTTTAGTTTTTTTAAGAACTACCATCATGTTTTCCATAATGGTTGTATTCGTTTATATTTCCATTATCTGTGTATAAGAGTTCTTTTTGGGGGTTGGCAGATGGCATAGTGGTTAAGGGCACTGGACTCCCTCATGGTCAATCATGGTTCAAGTCCTGGACCTGGTGGCATGCGTGCGTGCGCACTCTCTCTCCTGGACCTGGTAGCTCACTTGCACACTCACGCACTCTCTCTCTCTCTCTCTCTCTCACTCACACACACACACACACACACACACACTCCCTCTCTGGTCAAATTTAAATAAATGAGTAAATGAATTAAGTTAAATAATAAAATAATTTTTCAAAAAAAGTTCCTTTTTCTTCACATCCTCACCAAAACTTATCTTTGGATAACAGCTACCTAACAGGTCTCGGATATCTCATAGTGGTTTTGATTTGCATTTCCTGATGATTAGAGATGTTGAGCACCACTTAAAAATTTAAATTTTACTTACTGTTTAATTTGCTACAGGGCATCCATGTTTACCAAAGGGGTGGTGGTGAGAAAGCAAGGTAGGACTCAAACTGCAGCCAGCCATGTGGGAGTCCAGCACCCCAACCACCACATCACCTGCTGGCCCATTTATCTTTTATACATCTGTTGCTCTTTTGTATGTCTTCTTTAGAGAAGTGTCTTTTCAAACCCTTTACCATTTCATATCAGGTCATTTGGGTTTTTTGGTATTGTTTTATAAGTTCCTTATATATTTGGATACATGGATACATGATTTACAAGTATTTTCTATTACTGGATACATGATTTGCAAGTGTTCTCTATTATTGGATACATGGTTTGCAAGTATTTTCTGTTTCATAGGTTTTTATTTTGTTTCCTTTACTGTATAGAAACATTTTAATTTGATAAATCCCACATTTTTTGCTTGTCACCTGTGCCCTTGATGTCAACCCCCAAAAGTTACTACAAAGAATAATATACAGCTTTTCTCCTAAATGTTTTTTTTTTTTTTTTGAGAGATTTTCACTGTAGGGCGCGTGCGCTTGCCAGACAGACAGAGACATAGAGACAGAAAGCGAGAAATCACCCCCCAGGGGGGATGGTCACGCCGCAATCCCTTCTCCTCCATTCTCCTCTCGGGATCTTGGGCACGCACGCACACGCGCCCGGCGTGAGTTTTAAGCCACCGGGTCCGGGACACGAACCGCGGTCGACTACGTGGGAATCCAGCAACATAGACATTACGCTAACTGCTGGTTCCCATCGTTTTTTTTTTTTTTTAAGAGGTTTTTTGCCTTAGGGTGCATGGGCTCACTAGAGAGTGAGAAAGATACAGTGAGAGAGAAAGTGAGAAATCACTCTCTAGGGGGAATGATGACACCACAATCCCTTCTCCCGGGATCTTGGGCATGCACGTCCACACGCCTGGTGTGATTTTCAAGTCACTGGGCCAGGGCTTGAACTGGTGGCCATGTGGGAGTCCAGCAACATAACCGCCATGCCATCTGCTGGTCTCTCCCCTAAGCTTTCATGGTTTTATAGTTCCAGGTCTTATGTTTAAGTCTTTAACCTACTTTGAGTTGCTTTTTGTGTGTAGTGAAATAAAGATCCAATTTCATTTTTTTGCATATGTATATCCAGTTTTCTCAACATCAGATATTGAAGAGTCTGTCCTTTTTTCACTCTGTGTTCCTGTAAAGCTAAAAATCAGTTGGCTGGAACCAGTAAATGGCATTTAATGGTTACCTTGCTAGATTCCCACATAGTTGACCACAGTTCAAGTCCTAGATTCGGCAGCTTAAAACTCACGGCTGGTGCATATGCCCACATGCCCAAGATCCCAAGAGGAGAATGGAGGAGAAGGGACTACAGCATGGCTATCCCCCCCCCCAGAGGGGGGTGATTTCTCACTTCCTGTCTGCCTCTGTCTCTCTGGTGAGTGCACAAGCCCTACAGTAAAAATCTCTCTAATGAAAGAAAAAGAAGAATCAGTTGACTACAAGTAACAAGTATTTATTTCTTGGCTTTCTAGTCTATTCTACTGGTCCATGTGTGTGGTTTTATGCCAATACCATGCTGTTTTGATTACCATTAACTTTATAGTACTATTTGAAATTGGGATGCATGACACTTCAAGCTTGTTCATTTTGCTTTAGGTTGCTTTAGCTATTTGGGGTCTTTTAGAGTTCACAATAATTTTAGAACTGTCTATTTCTGTGAAAAATACCATTGGAATTTTGAAAAGGAATACACTGAATATGTGGATCTCCTTGGGTAGTATGGACATAATTCTTGCAATCCATGAACATGGGACACCTTTCCATTTATTTGTGCCTCCTTTAATTTTGTTCTTTAGTGTTTTATAGGTTTTATTGTACAGGTCTTTCACTTGCTTCGTTAAATTTTTCTTTGGTGTTTTTTAACATTGTAAATCATACTGTTTTTGATTCCTTCTTCAGATACTTGACTATTAGTGTATAGATATATGTTGATTTTATATCCTATAAATTTACTGAATTCATTTAGTAGTTTGAACAAGGTTATCTTGTTTTCTTATAGAGTTCTTAGGTTTTCTACATATATAATATCATCACATTACTTGCAAAGAGATGACTGTATTTCTTTTCTGATCAAGATGCCTTATATATCTTTTTTATTATTTAACTGATCTGGCTAGGCTTTCTAGTATTCAGCTTAACAGAACTGGCAAGGGTGGGCATCTTTGTCTTGTTCCTGATTTTTAAAAATCATTCATTCATTCATTCATTCATTCAAATTTCACTAGAGAGAGACAGAGAGAGAGAAAGGGAAAATGAGAAAGCAAGCCACCAAGTCCAGGACTCAAACACAGCTGACCATGTGGGAGTCCAGCACCTTAACCTCCACACCACCTGCTGGCCCCTTGTTCCTGATCTTAAAGAAAAGTTTCTAGCTTTGTATCATTCAGTATGATGTTAACTATGGGCTTACCATAGATGGCTTTCACTGAGTTGAAGTACATTGCTTCTATACCTA